CAAATGGTGTCTCTGGCAATAAATAACCAATAATTACTTTTTCTTGAAACCACATTAGTGTTCTAAATAATGCAGCCGCTTTAGTTTTCTTTTAGTGTGATAAAACCACCAGGTTCAGTTCAGCAGAAGTGTGTGTCTAGCTTCAAATATGGGACAGATGTACCAGTTAGTCTTCCCACTGCTCATTTTCTGCATTTATTTCTCCTCAACAGAGCCAAGTCAATTGACGGTTCATTCCAATCACTGAAATCTCAAATGCATTTTGCTGTATGTACATTTATGAACTTTGTTGACTGGGAGATAGGACACAGGAGATAGGAACAAGTGAAAGTAAGGATTTTAAATTCAATTGCTAAATTTTTAAGACTGATTTTAAACAGTGTGCATATTGGTAGGGCAGGGGAGGGAGATATGTATAAATAGGTACATATGTATCCAGAGAAATAATGTCCACAAAGAACTACCAACACAAAAGTTAAACTGCATGTATACTCTATGTATTTTTATACAATATCAAATACAATATATATGCTGTATAGTTTTAGTAAACATGTGCAAGCATATACAATTCTTTATGTGCCCTAAATTTTTTAAATATTACCTTTTCTTGCAATCCACAAATGAGATTATCCTACAGGTGTTCTTTTACTACTCTTATTTATACTTGTTTAAACAATCTTGTATTACCTATGGTTTTGAAGATTTTAACAAAATATCAGTGAAACAATGTAACTACTACTCAATTCTTTTACAAATACATACCATGAGGAGCATAGAGGTGTCACTGACTCGGCAAGTGCCAAAGTACTTAATCTTGCAGAACCTTCCTGCCTTTTCCAGTTACTACTTTTTCAGAGTAGCTTTTGTTAGTCTGAGAGTACTGGCTATTTTATGCAGACAAAATAGCTTTCCTGTTTCAGACTTTGAGCCTTTCTAATTCAGAGGCTTTTCAAATGAATCAGTGAGCTATGATATAGAACAGATCTTGAGAACTGCCAGGAGAGAGGTGTATTTCCAATGGTCGCTGACACACTCCCCTGCTTGTTACCAACAGCTTTTCACTGATTTCTCTTTTCCTTGCTCCTTATACTGTTTTGTGCAGAATTGAACACTTACCCATAGCATTCATTTATTAAAGCTTTTTTCCATCACACTGGCTCTTAGCCTTCCACTCTATTTTTTTCCATCTCCTCAGAGAATTTTCCTTTATATAAAATCACCATGACATAAAAGATCCTTTTCAAGATATTCTAGTGTGAAATTTTAACAAAAAATCTGAAGGTAAAATAAAGGCCATTGAATGCAAAATTAGATTTAGGAATATTTTTAAAAGGAATGTGAAATAGCATGTGCTATGTCTATAATGTGCCATGTGTATGCAATTTTTTTTCTAGTTAAATGCTTAATGTGAAGTACCCAACATGTATTATTTATATGTCTATATTAATTATGTTTATAAAATGATACTGTTATAAGGTAGTTTATATAGCTGGGGATAAATGTTTAAAATGTTCTTTGGCCCAGGTGAGTCAATGTTTTGCCAAAACTGCATAGTTCAGTTGTTCTGCTATATATGGAGCTTTCTGGATCAGAAAGCAAAATGTTGGCTAAATTACCAGTGTTCAGAGTAAATTTTGGCAACTGGATGTCTATAAATTCCGTATCCATATACTCCTTATGTATAAATTTCAAACAAAGAAAGCTGTAAGGAGTAGAGGTGTTTTATTACACCTTATTTTCCCATGTATAAAGCAGAATGGTGTAAAAATAATTCAATTTGATAGTACAGAGTCTGTCAAAAAAAAAAAAAAAAAAAAAAAAAAAAAAAAAAAAACAATGAAAGCTATTTGTCAGGTTTAAAAATCTCAGTTCTTCAAAACATTTCTATGGCCACTGGAAGACTTTATAAGAACAGAGGATGATTTAAATTACAAGAGTAGTAATCTTTTACAGATTATTCATAATTTAGGAGTGCAACATTTGATTTTTTTTTTTTTTTTTTTTTGTAGTCTTCTGGGTAGAACTGCATAATTAATGTATGTTACCATTTTAGTGTAGGAAAGTAGCTTCCTCAGGACAGTCTCAACATATTCCTTTTCCACTGAGTTGAAAATAGTGCCACTCTGCAGTTTCTTGTCTGTAGCCCATGATGGGAAGAACAAATCACAGTTCATACACAGTATATAACATAGCTTATCATTGAAGTAGAACACTAAAAATTCATTGCATTAGCCTGTTAGACTTTCTGATATCAAGGATTTTTCATTCTGAGTAATCCTACTGAAGTCCATTAAGGAAATTAGTCAATTAGGAGATAGGAAATTAAAATCCAGATTAATTTTTTGCACAAATAATTCATAGTATCTAATTCTTTTATGCAGTTCTCTTCCTGAAGTTTAACCCTCTGCAAATTCCAGGGGAAAAATAATAATAAAAAAGACAATTCATAAAGGTTGAAATGAGAGCAGCCTAAGTGAAACCTAAGGTGCATAGCTTTCGTCCAGGCACATATTTAGGAATATTTCAGATTCTATTTAAAATGCAAGGAAAAGAGAATAGACAAAGCAAAGAAAACGAAACAACAAAATGCACCAAGCTTCTGACTGAGATATATAAAAGTATTCACTAATCTACCCATTTACACAATAATTCTAAAAGTGAAAATTCACACTTGTATCAAAGAAATCCAGAATTATACATGTTTTTGCCTACTGTAAAACTATGGCACTATTCTTCCTGTGCCACAAATATTTTTACTAGGAATCATGTAGAATTGTCCACATTGAGATGACAGTGAAAAAGGTAATGTCAAAAGCTTTGGATCATTAACAACCCTGAGGTTTTCTGTGATTCATTCCGTGAGTAAAAAATAGAACTGGATCACTAGATCATAATGTCTTATCCTCTCACTGTATGATGTCATCCAGCTTGCAAAAGCCCAGTAAATAATTTTTGACTCAACCGTTTTCCCTTTTCTGATCTGAAGACTGCAGGAGACAGGGATTCCATTTTTGAGCATTTTTTGCTTGATGCAAAATATGGTACAAATATTTTCTTCAGAAGTATGTCTGTAAACTAAACTTAGCCTTTTTCTTACATGTATTCTTACCATCCATGGGTACTTCTTGTTTTTTATTAACAAACTTGTGAACAAGTTGTGGGTGCCCTATCGCTGGAGGCATTCAAGGCTAGGTTGGATGGGACCCTAAGCAGTCTGATCTAGTAGGTGGTAATCACCCTAATTTGTATCTTTTAGTTAGTATCTAACTGGTGTCACCCTTAAAACTTTGATTGTGATTTGTTTTTCTCCATCAGATTATTATTTTTCATTTTGTGGTGGGTTCAACAAGATCAGTTAAACTTTTGATTTACTTCGCGGATAAATACGAATCCTTTAACTACTAATCAAACACACTTTTCCAGTTCTTGATTCATAATATTATATTGTAACTTTCTGCCTTCTTATCACACAATGCCTTGTGTTGGAAAGAACCTTAAAGATTGCCATGGGCAGGGTTGTCACCTACTAGCCCTGGGGCTACACAGGGCTCCATCCAAACTGTCCTTGAGCACCTCTAAGGATGGAGTAATTTATCCACAAGTTTATTAATCACACAATAAGTTCCTGTGGATGGTAAGATTATATTTAGGGCAAAGTTATGTGTAAAAATGTATTTATGAACAAAAACATATCTTATGGAAGCTTCTGTATTATGAATTACTTCAAATATTATATGAGCTAAAAAAAGCTATAAAAATTTGCTTAAATGTTTTTATAAATTGAAAGCATACGTTTAAAAATAACAAAATAAGAGCAAAAATATAGGTTTTCAATGTATCTGACATTATTGGTTGTAGCAGTACTGAGTCTTCAGAATAGAACAACTCTGTACTCTAGAAAATGCTTGCAAATAGACACCATGTTAGAAAAGAATTCAAGTTTGTTTTCTCTGACTTTATCTCTTGAAAAGCAGATTGTGTAAGACTGAAATCTTTTTGCTGTCATTTGGCACTTTTTTAAATTTAAACTTGAAATACTAGCAAACTATCTACTTTGCTATGCTACTTTATATGCTGTTGTTTTTACAGTACAAAATCCCTAGTTATAAGCTACTTGTCAATTAAGACATGATTTAGAATTTATATTTTTCTTTGTGTTCTACAAAAGCTAACGAGGAGGCAGAATACATCTCTGAGGAAAATACTACTGCTGTCTTTTAGAGCTTTACTAAAATGCGCCCAGGAAAACCTTTTCTTCATTCAGTAGGAGATCAGGGCTTATTAAGCACCAAAGGGTAGAGTTCTGTTGCTGTTAAATCACTTGAGTGAAACAAGCAACTTGGACCAAAGATGTCAGAGTTTAACTGAGGTTAGCAACAGAATTCATGCTTGCAATTGATATAGCCTATATTCTTATGAACAAAGCCATGTATCTTAAACTTCAGCCGCTGACTTGTCAGTTAAGCCTTAACTGTATCATTTTTTCTAACTGCTCATCTTATTGTGATCCTACTAGTTCATTTCAAGTAGTTCATCTTTGCCAGACGCATCCAACCACCTTGCTAATAGAGTCTCATGTTTTCTTCCAATTTTTAAATGCCTCCTTTCCTCTAAATTATTTGAATGCTTTTAACTTTATTACATTCAAAATCACACCTCTGCACTATCTTTATTATCTATATTTTCTGGGAAAATCCACAGCATACATTTCTCTAGCACTTGTTCTGGGGACTCTGTAGAATTGCAGTTGCATCGACACGTTTTAAACTTGCTGGAAGTCTAGGGTAACAGCTGGATGTGTTCATTTTCTCCAATATTCCTCCAACTGTGCAGTAAATATAAACATAAATTTGATTTCATTATGAAGTGAAATTTTTTAGGTTGTAATGCTTTTAAACTAAGATTCAAATATCCCATAGGCAGGAAGTGATACTGAGATAAGATACTGCATAAAAGTTACACTGGAGGTATCAATAATGTTTTTGTATGTTATTACACAGAATTCAAGTGCATTAATTTTTCTCATTGACCATTTGCAAACTGACAACATTTGCTTCAGAAGGAAACATTTACCGGTAGAAAATGTAAGTAATTACTTGATCAGATTTCTAAAAATATGTGTATTCAGAGTCTTTTCTGCGTAAGTATCTTAATTCTCATAAATAATCAAATGGTAGCAAATAAACTATTTGCCCCACTTTTTCTGTATTTGCTTAGGTAATGCAAGCTACTTGCAATTAAATTTTCTCACGACAAGGTTTTCTTTTTGACAATAATTTGTTTATAGATTACTGCTCTTTGGAAAAGGACTTAATATAGACTTTGCAGGTCTGTTGCATTTATGAGAAGCAGATCTTCCACCATTAACTTGTCTAGATAGTTCATTCAGTTCACAGAAATACGAATTCTCTGTTAGCTTATCTCGCAGTTATTCTACACACTGGCATGCATGTGTCAATGCTGAGGCCACATACATGGTCCTTAACAGTATTACAGAATTACTGCATTTGAGCTCAGGGTCTTAAGTGTTGTGGAGCACATAAACACAAAATTTGTGTTAAATTGTGTCTGTATTAAATTCTGACTCATTTTCAAAATGCAGATAAGCCATCTTTATTTCTATATTCTTTCATTTCTAAATGATTCAGAGCTGATAGTAAATGACATATTTTGTCATATCCTACTCAACAAAATCTTAATCACATTTCCCAACAGCCATGTTTGTTAAAAGCTAGACAATCAGATCTAAATCAAAATGAAATCATTCTGTATTAAGCATGCCACAGTAAACAGCATTGGTCAATTACTTTTCCAACTTCGGAGACTTTCTATAGACACCCAAGCCAGACTGCTGTGTAAGAGATTTCTTCAAAATATGAGGAAAATTCAGGACAGTGAATTGCTGTGGGTGGTTGTTTCTTCCCAGCTCCTAGGCAGCTGTCTGCCTATCATCCAGCTCCTAATCTCAGTGGCTGGTAATATATCTGGATAAAAAGAGGATGCATCTCTATAGGAATAGGAAGAAAAATCAGTAATATCTCTGGCTTGGTGGAAGAAGCTCCTGTGCCTGTAGTTCTGACCTCTGTTATTTCTGTGGTTTGATTTTATTTTTTCATTTTTCCAGGCAAGAAGATGAGTGTTTGGGTTTTTTTTTTTTCTATTATACTGTACTGCACAAATTTTCATTATCCCATGGAGAGATGAAATGGATAACTGCAATGAAAAAAGAGAAGATTACAAAAAGATGAGTTACTGAAGAAACTTAAGGATGAGTTAAAGATGAATGCTTAAAAGGACAAGGGAAGAAAAAAAAAAAAAGATGCCTTTCTAAATGTGAAGGAGAAAAAATAAAAAAGGAAACAGAAAAACAGTAATGAACCATAGATAACTCAGAAGAAAAATGAAAAAGTGTGAAGTAAAAGATTTAAAAGATAAAATTTCTAAATCAGTGAATTTTGTTCATCAAAAATAATCAATATAAAAATTCTAGCAACAATATTTTCTCAACTCCTTAAGAAAATTTCTGATTTCTGTTCTATATTTGTTATGGACAAAAATAGTCAACATTTTTTTTCAGGAATTAGTTTTTTGTTTTTTGCTTTTTTGTTTGTTTGTTCTTCTAAGTGAATGAATTCCTTAGTAATTTTTCTGCTCCATAAATTCTTCCTTTTTTGAAACAAGCAGAGATTCTCAAGTTTGTTGAACAGGGATTAGTATATTTATCTAGTCCTTATTGTTAGCACCAAAAAATGTTGACACCGTGGTTTTGTGGGTCCCTCCCTGTCAATCTCTGCCTAGTTTTAGCCATCACTGAAAGACACAGTTATCACTTCATTTCAAGTTACAAGTCATTTCAAGTATGACTGAAACAGTCCATACCTTGAAATGAGTGTAAGACTAATTTGGTTCTAGAGATTCCCAAAACAGGGTGTGATATTCCAAACAAATGAAAGGAAGACATTTTTTGCAGAATGTGTCAAAATGTGCATATATGGATACTAAAAGATCTGTTTCTTCCGTGGAAGAAATAATCACTTAAGGACTACTCAATGTAAACTGTCCAACTCTTCAGAGTCCCTGGAATTTAAAGTAAAAATCTTGAGAATATGCAGGATAATGTTATGGTGAGTTACTATCTGCAATCAATATACATTTATACTTTCTCCATGCTCTCCAAGCAATGTAATAAGCTACTAAGCAAAAAAAAAAACCTCTGTCATCACTTCTGACAACTAAATAACCTAAAGGTGACAGAAATAGCAGAACATCCATTATAGTACTGTTGAAAATCAACAACAAAACTGGAAGACAATTAAAACATGTTTTGACCAGTAAGAAAATGCAACAAACTCTCCAGTGAATTAGTCTGTGTGATTTTTCACAAGCTGTATAATGCAGCTGGTTGAAATATTTCGAATAAACATTTCTGATTTTCAATTGTAAAATTGAATTAACAATTTAACTGATTTAACAATATCTAAATCTTTCCTGGAATCATAGAACAACTCAGATTGGAGGGGACTTTAAAGATTGTCTATTTCCAACCCCAAGTGAAAATGAATGATTTTGTCATGACAATTTTTATTACATTTAACAAAACTGTTCCATTTATTAATTTTAAAATTTATCTCAACCCTGTAGTTTGAAGTCTATTTTTACAACAGTAAATGAAAATAGTTGGTCTTCATAAGAAAAAAAAATTAATGTGACACAAAGAAGCTATAATATGAACAACATTAATAAGTCGTTACCTTCACTCTTGGTCATATTGTCATATGATCTTTTACTGTACTCACTAGTAGTCAGACCATATGTAAAATCATTATATTACCATTACAAACTTATTCTTGTTTCATCTCTGGATTTTTTTATTATTTCTTTTTTAATAAGCTGCTGCTTCTTTCCTCTGAGCACCCTCGGAAGCAGCTGGCTTATTGTCAAGCCCAAGTTCCTATTCTTCCATAATTACTTTGGACAGTAGAAAATGTAAAGTTCAGTGCAAGCTCAAGCCTAAATTGACAACTAAGGACAAATTTACACAGTATATGAATATGCAAGATGAAAAAAATTAGCCTGTATTTTTATGCTTTTTTCTCCAGTAATGCTGAGTAGGACTAAACCACACATTCAGAAGCTATCCTCTGAAAGGAGTACCTCTTGTTGTCTCATGTGTAATTGTCTTATCTTGAAAACATTGCTCTGAAAAAATAACACTGTACCAAAACATGTTTACCTGAAATGCATTATGTTCTGCATAAAATACACATAAGACATTTTCATAGTACTCTGAAAACAATCTCATTGGAAAAAGAAATGGAAAATCAAATCCCAAAAGCTCATATAACTGAGATTCCTGTTTTTAAACAGGAGGGAGTTTTAGAGGGCCAGTGTCAACCCTGCTTCAATCACTGGGTCTCATCATTGTTTTCAAATCATCCTAATAATTTAAAATACCCCAAAATTACATTTGGGTAACAAAGTTTGCTCAAGTAAGACTAGATTGAATTTGAAATATCTGAGCGACAGGAGAGAATAGAACACCTTAAAGCACTATATCTGCATCCCTGGTTGGCTATCAGATACCTGGGAGAACATAATAAAGATTACTTGTTATAGGCAAGGTTGTAGCTGACATCAAGCAGTTATAAGGCATTTAGCAAGTGGTAATGTAGCACCTATAAGATGCAAGATATCTAGCATATGAAGGAGATCTTAAGACATTTCTCAGTGCTTTGTGAAGCACATTTAAAAACTAGTTATCTTACAAGCAGTGTGGAAGAGGAATTACTTGGTGTTGTCACTGGTCCCAGTTACACAGCACTGAATGTTCTAGATACCTAAATGAAGCTGCCCCCATTCTGGTCATATTTTCAGCCCTAAGTACAAGAGGTAGATGGTAACAATGAAGATGGCAATGACAATCTTTGTGTCAGCATGACAGGCATTATATCAAGCTGCCTAATAGTTGTAAAGTTTGTAAAAAACGTGTTCACAGGCTACCGATCTATGTGCTACATTGAATGCTACACACATGAGAATATCAGTAAAAGCAAGAGAACCCTTGAAAATGAAGAAAATGAGAATGGTAGGTCCTAGAATCTGATGATAACACTGTTCTTACACTGATTCTTTCAAGCACTGGGTACTAGCAGTTGCAGAGGATAATGTACTTAACAACTCTTCAGTTTGAGTTCTTCAAACCAGGAGGTCAGAATTTCAAAGAAGACAGTAGAAATATTTATTTAAGGTACTTTATACAGCTCCTGCCAGAAATCTGGCTTTGCTATAAAAGCTCATTATATTGTATTAAACTTTCTTTTTTTTTTTTCCACATAAAATATCACAGATTTTTTCAGAATCTTTTTTAGTTGTCTTCCTGTTTACTAGTGTTTGATCATTTTTATTGTCTTTTCCTGGGGTGTAGAAATACATCTGATATTTCATTTTATTCATGTTTTTAAGCTTAAATTCTTTCAGATTACTTTTGACCTATTGCATCAGCAGTAAAATTTCGGATTATTTCACTGAACTTCTCAGCATGAAAAGATGTAGACTGTGGAAACTGAGCCATCAGCCTAACTTGAGAAACAGCAACAGCAGCAGAAAAATAACAAGGGCCAGCTAACCCTTTTGTCAAAAGAGATAAATACAGCAGCAGCAAATGCAGACCCTGCTGTGAGAGAAGACTTCCTGTGTCTTGTTTTCTTGACTCTTTTTTCTGGAACTGATTTGTTAGGCAGTGGAGTTACTCCATATTAGATTTACAAAAAAAAAAATAAGTTAATAGAACTGAGCCAGCAGTTTAAAGATCAACCAGTAGGTTTTGTTTCATTCTTTTTTTGTTTGTTCCTTTTAATAATAATATAACGTAATATTATTTATTTAACTAATTTTCCATACCCTCCTTCCTCAGAGGAAATAGTAAGAGAAAGAGAAAGGACGAGGAAGAGAAACAGCCTTTTAATTTTGAATAGGGAAGTTACCAGTTTTTCTACTCTTACAAGTACCGATGAATTCTATTGGTCATATTTGCTTTTAATTCTTCTTCCAGGACAAATAAAAATTTTGCATGGCAACTGAATGCCTGAAGTTGTATCATCATTCATATTATTCCCCTGCCTACACAATTCCATTTGTTTACAATCATCCTACTTTCAGATATTTTCTGAACAAAGAACTTATCATCACTTTTTACGTGTTCAGACCTATATTCAAAACTGTATGAAAATTTAAGACTGTTTTAGAACAAAATAATGACTATATTTTCTATATACATAGAGAATGAGACATTGTCCTCATTTATACATTGACAATTTTTTTGAATATGTAAATCTTTTGGAAAAAAATATTTCAGATGTCAGATTTACAGACATTTTCCATGAAAGGATCCTTATGTGTTTGCATAAGGGAAGATATTCAAGCATTTCTTCATAGCCAATAGGAAATGTAGGAAAGCCAGTTTGACTTCACAGTTTTTTTAATCCCCATTACTATTTGTTAATTCTTTAAAATCCTTATAGTAGAAATGCTAAGTCATGGCCTGAAACAGTGATTGAGCAGCTGGTGGGAAGGCAGGGGCAATCCAAGGGATCTCAATGCACCTGAGTGACCCGAGCTGGAGCCAGGATCTGCCCCTTCCCAGACTTCATTTAAGAGTTGGCAGTGGGGTGAAGCTTCTTTCACTGGAGATCCTTGCCTACCTATCTGAAGTCTTAAAAAGTTAAGTAGCTTATTTTCCTTCATTTCTACATGTGTGGTTGCTGTGTTTGGGCTTGTCCTCATTTGCTATAGCTAAACAGTTTGCCACCTTATTATTAACACTATAGTTTCCATCACAGTATAGTGTTATAGTCCTCTAAATGCGTGTTATGTTTTTACTAAAATTTCTAAGCAGAGAAAACTGTTTTTGAGTTTATTGATGCTGCTTGTCAGCTACATTATTATGTGAAGTAATTTGTTTGGGTGGTCTAAGTTTTTTTTTGTTGTTCTTTCTTTTTTTACTATTTTTTTTTTTTTTAAACACATACCATTGTGAAAGAAATTATTGCAACTGGAAAGCAGTGCATTGGTCATATTCTGGACCAACATTATGCTGAAAGACAAATAGGTTCAAATAGCATGTCATGAGAAATGAGAATATAGGCTTATTGCTGGTGTACATTTTCATCATAAAGAACTTCTCCAGCATTTCTTTTATTTTAATACGTGAACACATGGACTGCCATTGTAGCAGAGCCAAATCCACCTCTGCAAGGTGGACTCCATCCATATTGGCACTCCCTTGATCTTTTCTGGTGATTCAGAGCTAAATGATATGCTATTAATTTAATGCGTTGAAAGTAATACATACTAAAGAGATATTATGTAACAAATTCATTTTCTTTATTTAAAACTGTCTCTTAAATTACTGATAGTGTTCTAATCTAATCTGGGAAGTGGTTAAGTACCACAGTCAAGTGCTCACTCTTCCCTTTTCCCAGTGGGATGGAGGGGAGAATTAAGAGAACAAAAAAAACCTCATGGGTTCAGATAAAACTATTTAAGCCAGGAAAAACAAAAATAAAATTTATGACTACATATATATATATATATGAACGTATATATCAAGTAATTCTCGCTATCCCTCAGCTGATGTACAGCTAGCCCTCTGGGCAGTGCAAAAGTCAGATGACCTCCTGCTACCTTCTAAACTCCCTCCTGCTTGATACCATACAGTATGAAATATCTCTTTGGCCAGTTTAAGTTACCTGTCCTAATTCTATTCCTTCCCAGCTCTTCTGGCTCTTCACTAAGTACGGCCTTGGTTCTGTATAATACTGCCTAGCAGCAGCTAGAAGCATCAGTGCGTTATCAACAATGTTTTCCTCCTAGAAACAAAACACAATAGCATACAAAGCATTCTGGAGGAAACAACTCCAACCCAGCTGAAATTCAGACAGTGCTGTAACACTATATGATGTGTATATATATATATGATGATCTATATGCCTGTGTCATCCTAAACTTATGGATGTGGACATGTTTTGTTTCCACTCACAGGCTGAGCATGACAAGAAGACTTCAGGAGACTGTTACTTTGTAGCAGTTTTTCTCCTGTTTTCTAGC